ATAATAATAATAGACTTGTTATCAATTATTTTCACCACTACTGATGAATGCTCCTTGGTACACGCTGTAAAGTCAATGGTCCTTGTTCAGAGCTGTAGCATTTTATTAAAAATTAGTGATTAGTGGTGTTTATCTACATTTTTCACGCTTAATCATTTTTTAATCGAATTTATTAGATGTATTGAATAAATTAAGTTCATTTTGAAAAGAGTTAATTGAGTTTGGTTTGTGTGAGATTTTGAGTTTGTATTTAAATAATATTTAAAATATAATGGTTAAAGTCGATTTAATGTAAAAGTAGAATATATATGATTAGAAGTAATTTATAGTTAAAATTATGTGAGTGCACTGTTGACATCAATAATGAGACATTAAATGACATAAGTATGTGGTTTAATAGCAAAGGTTTTCGACGTTTTATGAAAGATAAATGTGTTATAGCTAAAGAAATTGTCGATATAGAATGAGAGAACGACACAAAGCAAGTGTTTATTGTATAGAACTCTTTTTCTGATAGTGTCCCTTGTCATGAGCTTCAAGAGAGTAATTTATGTATGGAAAAAGTAGGAAAGTAATTATGGCTATGAGTCAGCTAAGAATGTAGGGAGATAACTCGCGTTCCCATCCACGGTTGGATGATTGCTTTAATTATTTGCTTGGTCAGTTCTTGTTTACACTTCAGAGAGATCGACCATCTTCAGAGGGAAGTAATAAAAACAGATAGACACCCAAGTTTGAATGTGGATCGGTACGACATTAGTAGTATGACTTCTTGGGTTGTTCTTTTTTACAATTTTTAGGCTCATTTAGAGTTAGTCCTATTTTTTGTTGAGGCTGGTGCATTTTCAAACTTTGTGGGCCGACCCCAGAAGGTATAAGTATTTTTTATGTCTAACAAAGACACCCCCAAGTTTCCAGGTGCGTGCAGGATCGTCAGGTTGTCATGTGGTCGGGATACTATCTGTCAATATGTTGAACTTCAGATACGGGTCTTTCATGTGAGATCGTCAATTTCCTTGGGCATAAACATTTAGTTGCACCTTTTGGTAGGAAATAGAACATAAGGTGCCATTTCGACTGAGTCATTTAATGAGGAGAGAGAAAGGACATGACGTTTCTCAGGAAGACGCGTCGTTTCAGACAGGAAGTGACAGATGCCGGAGTGAGGAGGCGTCGATTAGTAGTTCTTGTGAATGAACGTGATCGTTGGACTTCGCGCCTTGAAATTAATTGTTGTTGGTGAAGTAGGATCGTTTCTATAAATAGGAGGCGACAGGGTTTGAAAATTGTCTTCTATGTTGAAATAAAGCCATCCTCAAATTAGGATTCATTATCTGGCAAAACAACACACTTCAAATTCCTTCAAGCATGTACTTTTGACTTCTTTTTTCATCTTTAAGCCAAGCAAAGATGTCAGATTGCAATGAGTATGACATGGATGTATTGAATGTTGCGAACGGGGGGTGATAAAGCGAGTCAAATGAGGGAGCCGATATCTAGTATAAGGAAAATAGAATACATGGATGTATTCTAAAAAAAAGACTGAGGAAAATAGAAAGACTAGTGAAAAGTTTATACCTTATAAACAACTTATAGAAGAGAAAATGATATTTAACATAATTAATTCTCAATATTATCCAATATTTATGGTTATTCAAGGCTTAGTTATCTTTGGCGTGGAAGTAAATTAATTCATTCAAGCCAAATGACAAAGCATGAAAAATTGCCACATATGATCTCAAAGGGTGCATGCATGCCACTTAGGCTTAACACATTTAAAAATTATATATAGGGGATGTGATGTGTGAATATGCAGGGACGGATTTGTATTGGACCCATGGCCCCCCCTGAATTTTTTTCAAAAATCAATAATATATATATATGTGTGTAAAAAAATAAGAAAAATATGTATATAAATGTAAAAAGTATTTACAATATATTAATAAATAAAAGTTCTTTTTATGTTGTTTTAATTAAAATTAATAATATTATTTATTTATTAAAAAATATACTAATAATCCTCTTTTTTACATTTCTAGATAAATTTGAAAGAATATTTATAATAATTTACTCTTTGGGCCTCTTAATTGTAAATCGATTTAGTAATGTGTAAAAAACTCAGTATTTAGTTGGATTGTTACGTTTTATAATTTTGATTTTTTACTTTCACATATTTTTAATTTTTCTATTTTCTTTTTAAAAAATATTCATTTTATAAACTCTCATCAACAAAGATGTTATGCAATGTGCTGCAAACGTTCAGATTTCTCAATAAAAAAAACTCATTTTTTTCCATAAACTATAGATGTTAAACTTAAGTTATAAATATATGAAATCTCGTATTTTTTATTTTTTTATTTTTTATAAAAGTTTGAGGGTGATACAAATTCTTAAGTTTAGAAAAACTTGATGGTACACATCGATATTTATATTTATAGTAAATACATTTTTATATGAAATGCGCGTTTCGACTTAACTACAAGCTCGTTATAACATTTAAAATCGGACCCCCCTGAATAAATTCCTAGATCCGTCACTGTGAATATGATTGATATTATTTAATTATATTGAAAATATTGAAAAAAGTTGAGTTAAATTTGAATTGAATTGTTAATTAAAAAAAAAATATGATCAGTCATAACTGGATATTTTATACAATCAGGCACTAATAAAGGTTTCATATCTTCTTTGTAGTCAGATTTCGCCCACGTTCAATGAATTCTGAATTTTGTTGTCCTATAAAATGTAATGATCCCTGTATTATTTTGCATGGAATCTTAAGTTCTGTAACTGTAGAATCTATGTTTTTTAGTGTCTTATAGGAAAATTCAACATTTCGTGCACTATATTTGTCCTAGTTTCACTTTTCTTTATTACTTTCGGGTTTAGGTTTGCTACACTATCTTTTTTTGTCAATTTTCGTCCAAATTGAGATTTCGACTCTCATTTCCAATGAAAATGATGATATGGCACTCTTTCGGTCCCACTTACGATTTTTTGGCTTGATGTGGAACTCGCACTGCCAAATAAACAACCACAACGACAAATAAAATCCCAAATAAATAGGTAATTAAAAAGTGCAAATTTGACTAACCCCTCCCAAAACCCATCGACATATCTGCCACCAAATTTATTCGCCCTATTTGTCGCCAGCCATGGCGGCTTGGTTGGCTTCGCCATCGTCTGCAAGCTCAGATTTCTCGGCACACCAACCTCCTCCGCACCAGCATCGAGTTTGATCTAATCTCCAACCCGCCATCGACAATTTTCACCACCCACTGGCCCTGATAAGTCGTCCTCACCGCTGCTTGACCTTACCTCCAACCCGTCGTCGATGATTTCCACCACCCATCACCCCTAATAGGTCGTCTTCGCCGCTGCTCGACTGCATCTACGCCAACAACACCTACCTTGCACCAACGTCATCTCCTCCGTTTCTAAATAATTATAATTAAAGCAGTTGAATAACAACAAACAATTTTCAAATCTGAGCCGGGCGAAATGGGTCGGGAGAGTGGCTCTGTGGGAGGAAAAGGGGAATGAGAAGGCGGATTGGATGTAGGTCGATGGCCGACAGAGCAGTGGGGACGGCTCCACCATATCTGATTTTGTCTTTTTATATAATTTTTTATTTTTAAATAGTAAAAAAAAATAGAAATAAGACTCATTTTATAATTTTATTTTTTATTTGTAATTTATCCAGATGTATTTGTCTATACTCTATTTGGATGTGTAAGAGCCACATCATGCCAGAAAATTGTAAGTTGGACCGAAAGAGCGCCACATCAGTATTTCCAACAGGAATAAGGGCCGAAATCTCAATATTAACGAAATTTGTCAAAAAAAAGATAGTAATGTAAAACGTAAGCTCCGAATAAATAAATAACAAAAGTGCAACTAGAACAAATAAGTAATCATTACACGGCACAAGACACTTAGAATTGCACATTTTTAAGGGCGAAAAAGCAAGGAAAAAAAATAAAAGAATCACACCGAAAGAAAATGCAGTAGTCAAAAGTGAAGATATAAATTGATATCATTGAACGAGTTAAGGAAGAAAAGGCACGTTTGGCCTCATATAATGGAGACCTCTGCAGTTCAGTTCGTGATTCTCTTTAATACTAGAGAATAAATTCAGCCATCATGTTTCTAGTCAAACTAGTACGTACCCGTGCGATGTACGGGACGTGAATATTAAATAAGTTTTTTTTCAAATGTTATGTCTGTTTAAGTTTAAAAAGTAATAGAGTTATCATCTATTTTTCATCTCTGGTAATCAGCGTTAAGTCTAAAATCCGATAGGACTAGAATCTATTATCCACCTCTTTTAATCAGTATTGTTTTTTTAGTCAAAACATTAAATATGAACATGTTACGACTAACTTGTAAAATAATTAATATATTATCTCACTAACACATATATACTAACATAAATTTGATTTTAGTATATATATTTACTTCTTGATATAAGACAAAATAAATATATATTTAGTTCTTGATATAAGAGAAAATAACAGTTTTACTTATTCTTGTTCACCATATAATACATAATTATTATTTTATTATAAACTTTCTTGTCATATAATGTCATTATTATTTATAATAGTTATATAAGTTATACGTTTTCTTTTTCTTTTAATTTATGTAATGGAAAATATTTAATGCACGTTAGTATTATTTATTTATGTAAGCAATTTAAAATATGTAAGAAAATTTAAAATTAAATAATGTATATATATCTTACAAAATATACACACATGTCTTTTTAGAATTTAATTTTGTATACTAATTAAACAACTTTGATTTAGCAAATGCCAAAAACTCAATCTCTTCTATAATCAAGATTTTTCTAATTTGCACTATAAGAATTTATAATTTATTTTGCATACTCTGCAATGAAAATATATTTTACAATAATTTTATTATAGAAAGAAATAAAAAAATGATAAAAAAAATGATCATGGTTGCCAATAATATACAAATAAATTCTAAAGAACAGTTAATATATTTCAATTTTTATTTTTGACCATTAGTAAAACTATTTAATGTATCTGATCATTATCTCTTAAACAGTAAATTATATTAATTTGAATAATAATTTATTTCTTATATATAATGAAATAAAGTTTAAGAAAAAATTATAATGGCAAAGATTATTTTACCAACTTGATTTCGCCTGATTAATTGAAAGAAAAAATTATACAACCCGTTACGATTTTCTATACATATTTTAGGATAAAAGGTGAATATTTGTGAAAAAAATTAATATTATGGTAATGTTGTAATATTTATCTTGATCAAAATATTATCAACATGAACTCACCAGTAACCTTAATGGAAATATTGCCCCATAACTTGACATTTGATCCACTTGCTACTGAGGTCTTCACGATTGGATCCATATTTGAAATAATTTTGTGAATTTGATTTGTGCATGATGCCTTGGCTTGCACGTCCCTTATTTTTAGAAGTTGATCCCTCCTCAAGGCTTGAAATGGGTGTTGGTCCCCCAGTTTTCTGTTCTTTCACGACCCACCTCTTGGATCGACCACCAAACCTAATGGTCTTAATCATGGTGGGTTTTGCCTCGAACATTTGCCCAACCCCCTTCTGGGATTGTTCAAACAAGCGACCACCTAGCTCGAAAGACTTAGTCATGGTGGGTTTTGCCTCGAACACTTGCCCAACTCCCGTCTGGGGTCGTTCAAACAAGCAACCATCTAGCCGAAGGCCTTAATCATGATGGATTTATCTTCAGCACTTGCCAACTCCCCTCTGGCGTCGTTCAAACAAGTGATCATCCAGCCCGAAGGCCTTAATCATGACAGTTTTGTCTTGAACACATGCATAACCCCTCTATAGAGGCGTTCAAAGAAGCAATCACCCATCCCGAAAGCCTTAATCATGATGAATTTGTCTTGAAACTTGTTCAACCCCCTATGGGGTCGTTCAAACAAGCAACCATCCAATCCAAATGCCTTAATCATTATGGATTTGTCTTCGACACTTTCCCAACCCTCATCTTGGGTCGTTCAAACAAGCGACCATCTAGCCCAAAGGCCTTGATCAAGATGGATTTTTCTTTGACCTCGTACTTGGATCGACCACCCAACTTAGAAACCTTGATCATGGTGGATTTTTAGAAACCAAATGGTGACCTGTCACTAAGGTCACATGCAAGTCTATAACTGGTTTATGTTATTTAAAGCATAATAATTTGTGCTCTAAAATGTCATAATAATTGGTGCTCTAAAATAATTATTTATGTACAAAACAGAATAAAAAAGTTATACTTTGTGTATTTATTGTTTTTATAATACACATGAAAAAAAAAATATTAACCATTAAATTTTGTAGGTATGTATATACTTAAATAAACAATATATATACACATCATTGCACTCATAAACATTATAATCTTTTTAATGAAATACCAATATATTTGAGTTAATTAAACAATAGAGAAAAAAACCAATAAAAATACCAACAAACAACTTTCATTTCCCAATCCGCAACTATCGACAATGGAAAACGTCACTGTTCGCTGCCGCCAACAAGACCAAGGACAAGGAGAGGGACGATGATGCTGTCACCATCTCCGACATTGGACAGTTCCTTTTCGAGAATTTTCGATCGCACTATTGCGGGCAATTAGAGGAGGCCTCAATAGCGCCAACATTTTTGTTTTAATCGTTGGGTCTGCTCAAGGTTCTTCCGCTGGAGAACCTCTATGGTTAGACCATGTTCTTCGTCACCATCGAATCCTCAATCCTCGATCTCGTTGATGTTGACATTACCAGGTCGTATGTATAAACCTTAAATAAATAGTACATAAACGCATCATAGCACTTGTGAATATTATAAAAAATTACTAAGGGGATACCGATTAATCCAATAAAATGACATGAACTACACGAGTTCATATCACAACTAAAAAACAAATGTGTAAAAGGCACGTTAGTTCACTATTCATCTTTTATGTATGATTGCTATAACCAAAAAAAAAAGGAAAGAAAAAAAAGATCAATATGTATTAAAACAACATCATACAATCATCTTACATATATCCTAACGGATAAAATAAAAATTAATTCACATGATAACTCTAATTATAACAATCTTAAGACCATATGTGACCATATTTTTCATTGAGTAATTAGTATAACTCAGTTGGTTTTGGTTTTGCTGCAATATCAGTCACAACCACCATGTGTCACCAAAGTTTTAGCCATGATCAACGGCCTAAAATGGATGATGCATAATAGGAATGAAGGTGCATATAAATGAAAAAAAGAAAAATATTGGCCATAATTCTTTCATGTCATGAATGGTGTAATTTTTTCAAATGAAAGTTGGCTAGCTTGTAATCCAACCTGCTCCTGGCCCCTGCTCCGGCCCGTGTTGATGGCGGCCCAAAGGTGAGGTCCAAATAAGCCCGCTTTTGAATGGACTGGCAGAACTGAGGCCCCTGCCCATCCATAAATGAGGTTATAATCGGATTAGCCGATTTTGTCTTAAAATACGGCGGCTATAAATCCCAAATCAAAATCTACTACTGCAAACTCAGCGCCAAATCCGCACCTCCCCTTCTGGTTCCCGGCACGGCGGAGACCTGCACGAACTCAAAAGTTCACTCACATCCAAGAAACATACAGAAGTTATATTCTTTCAAAAGAAATTAAATGATCAGAACCATATTTCACCTGCGTTCATCACTGTCACTCTCAACTGCGATAAACCCTCCATCTTCGCCATCAGCTTTCCTGTTTCCTCTCCTTTTTTCCCATTTCTCCAGCTCGCCTGTATTAGAGAGAAAGCGTTCCGATCCCAACGACGACGATTTCAATGAGGATCCCTCCCGTCCGCCCAGGCTCTTCGTCGTACAGCCCAGGATCCGACCCGAGACGCATTTGAGGTGGAAGCTCGAGGAGGCTTTGAATCTCGCCAAATCGCTCGAACAACAACGCGACGGATTTTATGAGACGGAGTTTCTGGACAAGGAGACCCCGCCTCATCTAGTCGTTCAGAATCCCATCGCCAGGTCGCCTCGAGCGGGTTAGGGTTTTTTTTACTCTTTGTTTGTTGATTTTTTTTCATGGGATGTTGTGTTGTTTGCAGTTAATTGTGGTAGCTAGGGCATGTATTCTTTCTATTTTCTTCACGTTGTCCATTTAATGTGTTGTGGGAGTCCGAAGCTTGCAATTGCAAGTTGTGGAGAGTGGCAGCTAAATGGTGCTGAGTAAGATATTCAAGGGTCTGAATTGAAAACAGAAGGGGGCATAATTTTTTGCTAGCCTGAGCTTTGTAATTGGCACTTGGGACTGGAGTGTTGAGTCTAACTGTTTATGTATTGGTTTTTTAGCTACTGTGCAACTAATTAGGCATGGGAATATTGTGTTAGTCTAAAAATCTAAATATTTTGTGCTTAAAATTGAGGGTTTTTAAGTTGAATGATATGATTTGTGTGTTGTTAATTTGTAACTTACCCATGCTTATTTTAATATTACAGATACATTTTTTGGCCTTGGGACAGTAAGCAATATTAAGTGCCACTTGAATGATTTGGAATCAAAGGTAGAACATTTGTTGCTTGAAATCGGCCATTCTTTCTATAAGAGCACGCAACTGGAACATTGTTTGCTATAATTATTTTTCTTACTGACAGGATGACGTGGATGCTATATTTGTAAATGCTATTCTCACTGGTGTTCAGCAACGTAATTTGGAGGTGAGTTTTATGCATATAGTGAAATGTCATTCATTGTTAACCTTTTTGATCTGAGTTTTCATGTTTGGACCATTGTGCTGATTTCTTCTTTTCATGCTTCCACAGAGGACATGGGATAAACCTGTTCTGGACCGTATTGCTCTCATAATAGAGATTTTTAATGCTCATGCTCAGACAAAGGAAGCTAAACTGCAGGTTTTATTAAATTCCTCTTCTATCCCGCCATATTTGCATAAAAAGTGATGTTCAACATTTAGACTAAAATCTTGTGTCCATTTATAGTCTGAGTTAGCAGCCCTGATGTACAAACGGAGCAGGCTCGTTCGAGTTCGTGGTTGCGATGGGCGTTATACATTTGGTGGAGTTGGAGAAGCTGAAGTTGTTAGTGCCAGAGGGTGAGTTTATTGTTAATGTCTCAGTTTAGTTTCTTAGCGGTGAATGAACTTTTCTGAAGATCGCATGGATTTTTCGGGGTAACAAATGCCAAACGCTCGTATAAAGCACCGTTTTTTCTATCTTTTTATTGTGTTTTATATACTTAAGTTACAATCACTTAATAATAAAATCTAATGATTCACAGGAGAGGGAGTGGAGGGCGTGGTTTTATCAGCGGTGCTGGAGAAACTGAGCTTCAACTTCAGCGTCGAAGGTGTGTGCTTCATATCTTCTTTATTCTTATATATATCCCCACTTGGAGAAAAATATCTTACACTACACATGCACACAAGATTTTACTATACTCTTTACAAATTTTCCGGCTGTTGTTTACATGCTAATGAATTACATTTTATCATAATTAGTCTGAAACTGTCATGATAGTATACAAGTCTGATCCTTTCTAGTTACACCGCTCTTGCCAAGTAACCTCTCCCGGTTATTCTGCTTTGTAAGAATTTTTCGGTCACTGTTTGGGGTGAATCCACATGCGGGCGACAGCTACCCAGGCTGAATTTTTGTGGCCAACTACATGTTGTATTGTTTCACCAAAAGACATGTGACCTTAAAATGGCAGAATTTGGTAATGGAAATAAGATGAATAGTGAAGATAATGCACGTGCGACATTTTAACATTTTATGGGCTTCAACAAAAACACATTAATTTGGGCTTCTCATTAATAGATAAAAAAAAGGATATTCTTTTGTTTGTGGGCTTTAACCAAAACATATCATTTAGGGCTTTTCAGAAATATACAACAACAACATAGCCTTTTTGTCCCAAGCAAGTTGGGGGCTTTTCAGAAATGTCCAATAAAAAAAAAAAGACTATGATTTGTGTAAAGCAGCACAGAAAAACTAGGACAGAGAAATTGATAGAGGAAATATAAAAAAACTTTTAAAGCTGAAAATAATAATAGCTGGTTTTGCTCTAGAGTTCTATGCATTTGACTTCATTTCATTTTTCCTTCCGAAGTGAAGTGGGCTATTTTTTGGTATCACATACTATGTTTTTATATTTTCTTGCTGATAATATTTCTTGGATCTGCACTCACTGGTTTATCAGAAAATGTGAGTATCATGCTAGTTAGGAATCCACTAATTGCTATGTCTTTCCTTGAATGGTCATTCCTTGTCAAACCTGCATATGCGCTTTTACATATCCTTGTTCCTTTTTTTTTTTACATATATATAATTTTTCTCCAGAATCTCGGAACGGAGACAAAAATTACTCTCTGAAATCAAAGAAGTTCGAAGAACTCGAGCCGTGCAGCGTGCTGCTAGAAAAAGGGAAGGAGAGTCTTTGGGACAAGAACTTGCTACCGTTGCTGTAGTTGGCTATACAAATGCTGTAGGCAGCTCATACTATTTTCTTCACTCTACTTTTGCTGGAATTAGATTAGTTGTGTTGTAAAATATTTATTTCTTGAAATTCTTCTAGGGAAAGTCTACACTGGTCAGTGCGCTCTCAGACAGCTATCTTTACTGTGATGATCGGTAAGACAGAAGAATACCCAAAATCACTCTTGCATTTCCAAACAACAATTGCTTGATTGTGCTTTATTATTTATTTTATGGGTCACATGTGGATATTCAATACCCTGTATACGTCCTTTTCCCTATCTTTGTCTGTGTTTGACTGTGGTCATCATCATGCAACATTCCCATGTAGTTTATGCAAGCTGTGATCTCTTACATATAACTTTCCATATCTCAGATTATTTGCTACCGTCGATCCAAAGTTAAGCAGTGTTGTTCTTCCATCAGGGTAATAATACTATTGTTTACCATTTTGGTCTTCACTGTAATATTGATGTCAAACTCTGGCTCTTACCAACTTCCTTTGTGTGTGTGTGTGTGTGATCTTAAACTGAATCTATGCGATTTTAGGAGGAAAGTGCTGCTTAGTGACACAGTTGGGTTTATCTCAGATTTGCCTGTTCAGGTTAGTGAAAATGCTATGCATCAATTTTATTTTTTATTTATTATTTTTTTATTATTATTATTTTTTTCCTTATTGACGAAAAGTTTTCTTAGTATTCACCAAGTATTTGTTTTTGCAGCTGGTCGAGGCATTTCATGCAACACTGGAGGAGGTTGCCGAGGCTGATCTTCTCGTGGTATGAATAATTTACTATCATGCACTTCTTCTCTGTTAGCAAGATCCTACATATTGTAAAAACAATATTAAAAATTGACAGCATGTGCTGGACTCGAGTGCACCGAATCTTGATGAACACCGGAAAACTGTCATGCAAGTTCTTGGAAGGATTGGTGTTTCTCAGGAGAAACTTCAGAACATGATTGAAGTTTGGAATAAGGTAATGAATTGCGATTTTTATTTTGACGACTCCCTATGTTGCTGTATATAATTACAGAAAAAACCCTGGTATTTTAATATATAGACCTGTACGTTAGATGGGTAAATGAAGAAAATACTCCATTCACGTGCACACAACATTAGAAGAACTCCAAGTAAGAGAAAATCAATCCTAAAATAGGAAAGTATCGGTGAAAGTAAACCAGATACAGAATATTTACTAAGTTGACTCCTCTATTCCCTAAAACGTTTGGCAGGTTGATATCCTAGAAGATAATCCTGATGGCATTAATCAAGGATTCGATTTCCCAGATAACGAAGATGATGAAGTCACCACTGACCAAGATACTAAAGCTGAGCTGTCTCATGATCTTGGAGACTACTCAGATGGCTGGCTCTCGTGCGATGATGAGAATGAAGACTTTTGGGTTGACTATGACGGCAAGTCCATAGGATGCAACTCTGCGAATGGCTCTCAAGATGAGCTTTCAGTGCCCACTGATGAAGGCCTTGATTCCACCTGCAATGTCAAAACATCTGCTGTGACTGGAGTCGGTTTACAAGAGTTGCTGGAGATAATTGACAAGAAGTTGGGTCCGTCTCGTGTGGTGGAAAGGGGTGTGTTTGACCGCAAGTGGAGACCACCTCGTGATGAAGATAGTAATAAGATAGCAGCTGAGCTGTAAGCAATGTAGGCATGGAAATCTCTAGGTGAACAACTGGTGCTTGATGTTGCTTGCCATAGTCTGGAAGAAGTTGAGGCAATAAGATCTAGAAATTTGACCATAGTCTGGAAGAAATTGAGGCCATAAGATGTAGAAATTTGACGGAAGCTGTTGTGTTGGTTATACATGTAAGAGTGCGTATAAATCATAGTAAGCCGAGTCTTGGTTGTTGAATTACAAAATCTGAAACTTATATCGAAAATAAGAACCCTTAAATTCACTATTTAAAAAATTAAAAATTATATTATATTTGACAAAGAAATTCAAATCTTAACTATTTNCAACCTATATATAGACAAGACTCTAATTGGATTGAAGAAAACACAGGTCTACACATGTTCAAACAAAAAACGAAAAAGAAAAAAAATAACAACAACCAAATCACAAAGTCTAAACTTGGGCTGACAAGTGCCCAGGCGAGCAGTCTGCACCATAAAGTGGGCCAAAGTCAAAGAAAAAAATACAGAACGACTACTAGAATATGAATGAGGGGTAGCCATCCTAATCCATCCGCACAAGAGTACGAAGGCGGAGAGGGGCATCGTCTGGGTGGAAGGTTCGCCTATGGAGAGTGGAGGCACCGAGACTGGCCAAATAGTCAGCAGGTCGGTGCCCCACGCGGAAGATATGCGAGATCCGATAGCAGACTAACCGAAGTGTGGATCTGATGCGCATGAGGGAGTGCTAAATCTGCCACGAGACCTAGTGGCCCGAGGTCAAGAGGATGGCGGCAGTAGCGGCGGTAGCGTCTAGCTCAATCCAAATGTGAGTAGAGATAAAGGCTGCAATCTAAGACCGATCTCGAGCGCCTAAACCTCTGCGTCGTAGCTCGAGGAGGCCTGAAGAGGGGCATGGAAGGCGGTATTGAGAGCTTCGTTGTAATCCCTAATCAGGCCCCTGCCTCCTGCAGCTTCGATAAGTTGGTCGAAAGATCCGTCGGTGTTCTGCTTAACCCAAGGGGAGTCGGGTCTCAGCCAAACAACAGCTCTGGGTTGTGGGTGCTAGACAGGCGGCAGCGGAGATGGCATGAAGCGGTGGAGTGACGTGCTGCCTGTCTTGTCTCTAAGCGTGAGTCTATCCAAAGCTGTGAGGCGGGAGAGATGTCGATCAACCTGCAAAACATTGTAAGAGCATTAAAAAATAATATCCCTATGCTTCGCACTATTCCTCTCTGTCCATATGAACCACAGGATCAGATAAGGAATGAAGAAGCCCACGTGTCTAAAGTGCGTGCACTGTGAGAAAAAACTCAGGAGCACAAATAAATTGTCTGTAGTGGGTACGGGTATTTCAGTATAAGTGGAAAAATGCTCCCACACTCCCCTTGCAACCTCGCTCTCTAAAAATAGATGAAAAAAAAAGTCTCATCCTGGAAACACTGGTCTCGGCACAAATGTAACACCGCGAGGGGAACGAATCCCCCTCTCCTACACCACGGAGTCGATTGGAGTCCAACGCAGAAGAAGGCGCCAAAGGAAGACGAAGATGGTCAGAGTAAGCAGGTCGGTCCCAAAGAGGAGGTTAGGCCGATCACCCAGCCGTACTTCCCCCCAAGCCGAGGTCGTAGAAAATACATGCGATGATGTAAGTCGCCACTCATTTTGTCTGAACCGTCCTCCGATATAGGAATCTGTTGGATATGCTCTAATAACTGGTCACTAAAACCAGCTTCAATACCCAACTCTCTCTCTAACCTATCCCTATCCCACTCCCATGTCCACAGGTTCTTCACCCGCAGGAAAGAAGATTGAGTGGGCTGCCTAGTGCTCGAAAAGGACCCTTCACTAAACCACCACTCATCCCAAAAGCTACTATCCCCCTCCCCTAGCGTCCAAAAGATGTGCTCCTGGGCACGCCTACCTACCCTGTTGAGCTGCCTCCACTGTCTACTATCCTGATTAATAGTTGTCACCCGACAGGGATGACAGACACCTCTGGGGCAGTACTTCCCGCGAAGCTACTGAGCCCAAAGCGACCTATCCTCCCTGAAGCGCCACCACATCTTATAAGAGAAGGCGGTGACAACATCCATAACCGCGGATCCTAATGCCACCCTCGGAAAAAAGGCCGACAAATAGTCTCACTTCATCCAGTGGACCTGTCTTCCCTTTGGGAGTCGTCTCTGTGTCCCTATAAATAACGAGCCATAATCTGATCTAGCTCGTAGAGAGTGGATCCAGGGGGATCGAAGACCTCAAGAGATGAAGCGGAAGGGCCCTTAGGGTGATCTCGATCAACGTGAACTGACTCCCATTTGAAAGATGTCTATGTGACCAATCGGAGATCTGATCGATCATCCTCTGCCTGACGTCTGCAAAGAATGCTCTCGTGAGGTGGCTCTTATACAGAGGGGCGACGAGATAGGTGATGGGGAGGTCACCGCGCGAAACCAGTACACTCGTGGACCCGTTGCGCCCATCGGTTCGTAATAGGAGGTGAGAGGATGAATGTGCTATTTTGCACACTGACGAGCTAACCGATGACCAAGCCATAATGCTCTAGAAAGTGCCTAAGCTCGACCATTCTAACATTATCCGCACGAGTGAAGATAATGATGTCATCTGCATAAGAGAGGTGCGAGATGGGAGGACCATAGCCACTAGTGTTGTAGGTCATCCTCGAGGTATCGCGGATGAAGGCGTCAAGGCAGCGAGAAAGGTAGCTCGCCGCCAGAACAAAAGGCAGAGGGGAGAGGGGGTCCTCCTACCGAAGGCCCTGAGTAGAAGAGAAGAAGTCGGTGGGACTGCCATTAAACAGAACCGAGAACGTGTAGTGTTCTACACACGCCTCCACAAAACTGACCCACCGCTCTGGGATGCCCATCCGGATCAACACCTCCTTGAGAAACCGCCACTCGACTCAATCATACGCCTTAGCCATGTCTATTTTCAGCGCAAGGTTCTGTACTCGCAATCGATTCACATGGAGATGTCGTGGATCATCTCCTATGCCCGAATGATATTATCACTAATGACCCGATCTTTGACGAAACCACTTTGGTTCGGAGAGATAAGAGAAGGAATTGTAGAAGGTGAAATGCAGTGTGTAAATATATGTAAAGCGTGTAAATATATGCAGTGTGTAAATTCAAAGCATATCTCACTCCCTTATATAGGAAGATGATACCTTATTACCTAAGCCTGCTCGTGTGGGCTGCCCTGACTGCCCGTTCGTATTGCCCGAGTTGCCCGACCTGTTCAATTATGTTACTCCATGTGGCCCTATCCACGTGGGGATTTATTCCCTATAATATTCCTTCTTAACCTTCAGTCTTCTTCATTAGATGGTCTAACTATACGACCGACCTTGATTACCTCGAGGTAGAGTACCATCAATGTCGAGTCCCGCTGTTATACCCATCTGGTTGATCCTTCGACCAGGTGCTCCTTCAGGTCGAACTTCAATCAAGCCAACCGAGGACCCTAATTCAACCTGTTGGTATTTTCGGTGTTCTTGACATCTTTTTCGACCTGGAGATCCTTCGACCTATGATTTCCTCATTCTCCGTGCGATCTGATGATTGGCCCGGTTCGGTTCGGTTGCTCCCTCGGTCTAGTCGAACTGGTATGATTATCTCATATCACATATTTTCTTGAATTTCCTTTAGAACCATATTTAAANCAAAATAATATATTCGTTGAAAGTTTCGTTGGAAATTGTTAGAAGGAGTGATAACGTTAGAAAATCAATATGAATCATCGATCAAATATATTTTTATTGAAATTTATTATTTTCATATAATGAATAAATTGTCTAACACTTTACACTTTAATTGAAGAATAATAAGCTAACACTAAGCAAGCATGCTTGCCAACGTGTCCACCGGATAAACAAGTAAATTTTCTTGTTCGTTTATGTTAACGAATAATCAAATATATATTAACTATTTTCATACACAACGCATCGATTGGTCTGTTCATTAGAGTCCGACAACTTCGCTATAGTTCGAACTTCGCATCTTAAATTTACTAGACAATACATACAAAATATATCTTAAACTATATAAACAAAAATAACTATGAATAAAATACCCGATGTTATGGTTATTATATATATACGAGGTGAAAATTGCTAGGTTTTTAAACAAGTTGTGAGGGGGGTGGCAATGAGGGCCGACATCATTTAATATGAAGGAACAAATGGGCCATAATTGGGCTCCATGGGAAGTCATGAGGCATGGACTTGGTGTGCCAATCACGTTAGTTGTTACCACACACAAGTTCACTAATGGTTCTTTAAGCTTTGAGCTCTTGGGAGGGTGGCCCAGTAGGTGGTGGGGGCAGTTCAAAGGCAGTCACATGCCCAAATCACCCTCTTCCCGCAACAAACCACGTGGCCCCTCTCGATCATCTCATTTCAATCAAATAGCTCCAGGTACTAAACTAAGATGTCATTTTACCTAAGTTGCAAGTAATCCAATTTTATATTATTGATATTGTTTTCTAGTTGATTTGATTTTTTATTTTATTATATAAGATAAACGGACATGTTTGATTTGTTTTTCCTGATCTTTTGAAGGACGGACCATGAAAGGCATGGGAACTTGTAAAATGCCAAAAACTTGAGTCTTAACATTTTCCTTTTTATGTTCTTTATGGCATGATTGTTAAAATAAAATGAAATTTTACAGGAATGGAATGAGTTGAAAAATGTGATGAATAATGGATATGAAAGATAAATGAAACAATTTTTTTTTTTCATTGATGTGTTTGATATGCAGAAGGGCAATTTTGCTATGAAGCCAACTTTCTATATACAACAAGTAAACCATATAGAAGGTTGGCTCCACTATGGAGCCAATTGTTGGCTTCATAGCAAAACTGTGCAGAAGGAATAAGATCTGAATGGAATGACATTATCATTTTATATTATCATTTTCTTATTAATTTATAAAAAATTGATATTTATATTAATGTTATTTTTATATTTATGATACTAATAAAATTATTTTATTTTATTAGTATATTTTAATAAATATATTTTTGTATTGTTACACTCATAAATATTATATAATAAATTAGTGAACTGTGTATTCATATACATATTAACTAATACAAATATATCATTACATAAACCCCTATAAACATATATGGCGAATATAATTTTTTAATATCATAATTCAATTTATGAATCAATATATAATATATATGATGTATAAGAATGAACATCTTTGTAAATTATTTATAAATATATTTTTTTAATTTTACTTTTATATAAGATGGTTTGAGCATGTGCGTTGGAAA